TAACAGTGTGCACATTCTCATCAACAAACGATATTCATAGCATGCTTTAAAAATAGCATTTCTAGAGCATTGACTTTTTCTTTTGCGCATGGCAATACAAAAAACATTTGTCCATAAAAATGTGCATGATAGTCAGAGCACATACATGTTTATAGTGTAAAAAATAAGAACTTTTGAAATTGCTCTGCTATTTTTTCGATTTTTTCCCAACCAGTATTTTTTTTTTTTGAAAGTTCCCCCTACCAGTTTGGGCACCAAATTGTTTTTTAGGGTTGGGCTCTGCGCCCCCACGGATCCCTGGGCTAAACCTGAAGCTGCTTTCCCTTCTGGCCCAGCTGGTCCGTTGAAGCATTCATCTGGCCCATGCACACACTCGGCTGATGCATCCGTATCGGAAGCCAGCCCAGTAGGCCCAGCACAGCTCCTTTCTGAACCCTACCGCGAACGGTGCGGCGCGCGGCCGGCCGGACCGTAACCTCGCCAGCGCGCCGGCGTGCCGGCGCCGCCACTAGACACTGTCCGCCGCAATCCCGCACCGTCCAGTGATCACTCCCCAACTCCCTGACCTCAAGACCGCGTCGGCCGCTCGGAGCTCGTGAATCGCCTCGCCCGGCCGTCCTCGGGGCTCAGGCTGTCCAGGCCTCTCCACTTCCACGGGCAGGCGTCAGCTGCTTCACCCGACTTCCAGAGCAAGGGCAAGGTGAATTCTAATCACTTGAATTCCTGTATTGCAAACATTTTGTTGTTATTGCAAACATCGACTTAGAGTTGTACTGTTCCATCCGCTTGTCATCTTCAGTTAGATTAGCCTGTAGCTGCCCACGATGCAGGAGGATTCAGTACAATTCTGGTTGTGTTACTGCTACAAGCCTACAAGCAGAGCAATATGTATCCCTGTTCTGAACCTCGATGAATTCAAGTCAACCGTTCATCCCGTGTGTTAGATTTCATCAGTGTGTGGTTTCCTTGAAAAAAATGCGTGGTGGTTTGCTCCCCGCTCTGATCAGCTTCTCACGATGCGGTGGCTCTGGAGACAGGACCACCACCATGGTTTGCTGCGGAATCTGAAACCAACCAATTAACTACAGAATCTGAAACATCGTGTTCAATTCAGTCCGAATAATATTCTCTTGTACTATTATTTGTAATTTTGCTCATGTTATCTATTTTGTTGGATTGTTAAGTGTTGATTTCTAATTCTACCATAGCTGTGCAATTGAGCTATAGTTGTTTATGCCGTGATATGGGATACTTTTCTCGTTAGTTATATGCGCTAGACTTTTAGCCTGGGCTTGCTTGAATCCTGCCTCCACCAATTATATATGTAGTTTTTTTGCTTAAACTTTCGTCATGTATGATAAAACTGTGAATCTCTAATTACATCTCCACTCTGAGCTTAATTGCCTGATGGGTTGTATGCAGACGCAGCATGGACTCCCTTCATCTTGTGCACGTCAAGCTTCTGGCTGCCGACCTCCTCACGCTAACCCCACGACATACATCGCCGCCTTCCTTTGTTCGCTGTGGCCGTACAGTTGCCCGTGCCGAGGTTGTTGGGGTCGTTGTTTCACGTGACCGCAGGGAGAAGTTTCTGCGCTTCCTGATTGATGATGGCACTGGCTGTGTACCATGTGTCCTGTGGCTGAACCACCAGTACCTGAATGCAAACAGTTCATCCGATTCTGATCCAACTGGAGAGATGGTATCGAAAATGTCGGAGGTCGTACGCCTGGGCACCCTGTTGAGGGTTCGTGGGAGGATTGTCATGTACCGTGGTGCAATTCAAATTGCTGCTCGAGACGTGGTTCTAGAGGAGGACCCTAATGTGGAGGTTCTACATTGGTTACAGTGCATTCACATGGCCAAGGAATGTTATGATTTGCCACTACCTTCTGCTTGAGGTTTGCCTTGGAGGATCTTATGTTCTGTGTTTCTTTCTGTGGTTACCGTTGAACCAAACATCGTTAATCAAATGCCTTTTTTGGTTAACTGCATTTGATTTACTTCATTTATGCAGTAGGGTCAGTTGCAACTGCTTTATAAGGTATAATGCAGAGGCCCCTAGTGATAGTGCACTGCACTTGGGTGAAGTAATCAAGGTTTACGAGTCGACTAGTTATTCCAATGTTGAGACTCATAGACTAGTCGTGACTAATCGTGACAAGTCAACACTAAAGTTGCGATTCATAGACTAGTCGACACTGAAGTGTAGTCGGCCCTGGAGTTGCGACTCATAGACTAGTATAGACTAGTCTTGACTAGTCCTTCAACTCGTAGTCCATGGAAGTAATGAGTGGGTCCCTGATTCTGAATGGTACTGCAGCTACTCTGAATGGGACAGAGAAAGTATGGTGTAGTCTCTGCTTTCTTTGTCTTACCATCACCTAGTCACCTTCCTGGCATTAAGTTGATAGGCTGATAGATAGTGATGTATTAGAATCCATTCCACCAGTCGAACCACATGGTATTGAGAATTTGAAATACTGCCCTCCGTTCACACTTCACCGTCTATGTCAACTATTGACAAAGAAGGAAATGTAATAGCAGTTCACCTATTTCAACTGCAGGGTTAGTTTTCGTAGTTCACTCTAAATTTTCCTCTCTCTTCTCCACCCAATCCTATCCCCTTCTCTGCTCCTGAATCCTCATCACTTGTAACTCAAAGAAGGGGGTAAGCATGCATCCGCCTTCTCTCCACTTGGTCGTCATCATGCTCCTGATTCCTTGGCCCTTCAGTTCAGCGCTTCTGTGCGCATCTGTTAGTGTGCTTGTCACTGGCATGAGACTCACTCCTGGCAAAACTCTCACCTCGGACCAAGGTTCGTTCGCCTTAGGCTTCTTTACCCCCTCAGAGTCAACTAAAAATATGTATGTTGGCATATGGTTCAACGACATGTCTGGGTTGCCAACCGCGATAGTCCGATCACCGATGCTTCATCCACGGTGCTTTCTATGACCAACAGCTCGAGCCTTGTGTTGTCTCAAACCAATGGCCGCCACATACTTTGGATGGCAAACACAATTACTGGCAGCAACTCTTCAGCCAAACTTCTCAACAGTGGCAATCTTGTAGTCCTATCATCAGACGGTGCCATGTTATGGCAGAGCTTCGAAAACCCAAGCGACGTCGTCCTTGCTGGTATGCCTATGCAGGACACCCACAAGACACACCCACCATGGCGGATCATCTCTTGGAAGGGCCCTGATGATCCGTCAAAAGGCAGGTTCTCTGCTGGGAAAGACCTTGCCACTCCCCTACAGTACTTCGTCTGGGATGGGTCAGTGCCATACCGGCGTGCTCCAGTGTGGAACAGCTATGTATACTCCAACATGGAACTGCAGACCGTTAGTTCGCTCATGTATTTGACAATTAACAAGGGCACGGACGATGAGACCTATTCAACATTTGGACTATCAGATGGCTCCTCCAGGATATTTTACAAGGTTGACTACTCCGGAAAGACGATGCTGTTGAGATGGAATACCAGCTTGACAGATTGGACCGCCCTTCAACAGTTGTCAGCTTACGAGTGCAATCTCGATGGATATTGTGGTGCATACGGCTACTGCGACAACACAGAGGCAACTCCCACATGCAAGTGCCTTGATGAGTTTGTCCCTAGTAACAAAACAGAGTGGGTTAGAGGCAGTTTTTTTCATGGTTGCCGGCGAAAGGAGGAACTACAATGTGGTGGAGAGGACCGTTTCTTGACCTTGCCAGCAATGAAGGTGCCAGACAAATTCATACGCCTGTGGAATAAAAGCTATGATGACTGTGCAGTGGAGTGCAGCAAAAATTGCTCATGTGTAGCGTATGCTTATGCTAATCTAAGCACCAGCAACATTGATGGGGATGCAACAAGGTGCCTGCTGTGGACCAGGGAGCTGATTGACGTGGAGAAGGGTGGCGCCGTCGGCAATGAGAACCTGTATCTCCGGCTTACTGCCTTGTCAAGTACATTCCTCTTTCTATTGCTCTTGTTTATGTCCATGAATGTTTCAGTTTAAGAATTTGCATGTAACATAAAAAGCAGAGAATGACAACTTGCTGCTTTAACTTGCTAATAAATTGTGAGTTGCTGACACTTTGGCTCCACCACTACAGGCAGCAAAATCACTAGAGGGCATTAATTCTCAGAATCCTAACATGCTAAACCGAAAAGCTATGCTTTCAGTATTCAAACTATTCGACTGTATGTGCTATCTCCATGATGTTGTCATTTGGTTCGTGTTTGTACCATGTATATATGTCAATGCATTTAATATGCCAAAGTGGCGGTACAGGTAGTGAGCCCAAGTGCACATGTAAAACATTCCTGATGCAATTAACTTGGTTACTCGTGATACTTAGATAACACTATTAAAGTAAAGTTTTGCAATAAATTAAACTTCGTAGCATCGTTCCTTTTTAGGCAAAGGGCGAAAGAGCATCGTAATAAAAGTTATACCAGCAATGTCAGCAAGTGTGTTGCTGATACTTCTATTGGCATGCCTTGTATGGTTCCACAAGTTTAAAGGTAGTCCATTGATTTAATTCTTGAAGCAATTTGGAGGACACATATTGTGGCCTTTTTAGGATGACAAAGATGATATTTCTCTTAGGCAAACATGACAAAAAAGAAAGACTGAAGAGACCGATGATGGGGGATTTGCGCGTTAGTGATGGACTTGGAGAGGAAACTCATGAACTTCCATTTATTAGCTTTGAGGAAATAGTCGATGCAACAAACAACTTCTCTATGTACAATTTACTCGGAGAAGGTGGCTTTGGCAAGTTTACAAGGTAAATATAGACTCTACAGTGTGCCCCTAATTGCATCGACATATGAAAATTTTGCCACTTTTTGCTGTGATTCAAAACTGAACCATACTATTTTGTAACCTTAATTTTCTCCCCGTTGCTATAATGCAGGGGCTCTTACGTGGCAACAAAGAAGTTGCCGTTAACAGGCTGAGTAGAGGTGCTAGGCAGGGGGTAATAGAATTCAGGAATGAAGTAGTTGTGATTGCTAAACTGCAACACAAAAACCTTGTAAGGCTTCTCTGTTATTGTGTGCAGGGTGATGAAAAGCTACTTATTTATGAGTATCTACCAAACAAAAGCCTGGACACCTTCCTTTTCAGTATGTTCTGACCACAAATTAATCAGTCAAAAATCATTTGATGCCACATCTGAAATCATAATCCCAATCCCATACTATTATTGCAGATTCTGAAAAGAAGCCAATGCTTCATTGGCCGACACGATTCAATATAATAAAAGGAGTGGCTAGAGGGCTACTCTATCTCCATCAAGATTCAAGACTGATGATAATTCATAGGGAACTCAAAACAAGCAACATTTTGCTAGGTGGAGACATGAATCCCAAGATATCTGATTTTGGAATGGCAAGAATCTTTGGCGGAGATGAGCAAAAGCAAACACTAACCGAGTTGTCGGAACATAGTAAGTAGGATTACTATCTTGCGTGTAGTTATTCATTAAAGTCATACATAGTTAAACTCAACTCGAAACATGCAAGTCTTGCTGATGATATGATTTATCCAGCGGTTATATGTCAACGGAATATGCAATGGAAGGCCTCTTTTCTGTTAAGTCTGATGTCTATAGCTTCGGGGTATTGCTCTTGGAAACTGTAAGTGGTCTAAGGATAAGCTCAACGCAGAACATCAAGGAGTTCCCCAACCTTATAATATATGTAAGATTATGATTTATCATTTTTCAGTCTCCATAATGCCTTGACCACACGACTTGAAATTTTGATTTTATTTGCTCAGACATGGAGTCTATGGAGGGAAGGGCTAGCAAAAGATCTGGTGGATCCATCTGTTTCAGAGAGCTGCTCGAATGAAGAAGTTTTGTGTTGCATCCATGTTGGGCTCTTGTGTGTTCAAGATGACCCGGATGCCAGACCACTCATGTCAACTGTTGTATCAACCTTGGAGAGTAGAAGCACACCACTTGCAACACCTGATAAGCCACTGTATTTTTCTCAGAGGAATAAGGTAGCGAAGAGAGCAGAATACGGTCAGAACTCTGTGGATACGGAGACTCTTACAGTAATAGAGGGGCAGTAGGCTCTCGAAGTTTTTGAGTTTTGCCCGTGCACTGTTTCTCAGTTGTCCCAGCAATCTGCTAAAGGATTCAGCTGCCACCGGAATCACACGCACTGTAGTTCTCTTTTGATGTGGCATGGCATGCCTTACAGAAAATTTTGTTGTATCTGTATTTTCCACTCTAGTATGGATTCTGGAGTATAACAGTTTCTACTTTTTTTTAATAAACCATGCTGTACGTCATGACAAGTACAGAAATTTATTTTATGGTCAAAAGACAGAAGTAACAAAGATTTTCACTTATTAGAGATACAGAAGAAAGATTGATGTGTTGCTGAGTGCTGATGTTGTGGCCACCTGATATGCTTTAACCTATTACTCTTCCTGGCGTTATTCTTGATGCTATCCATGATATCAAGTTGTTAGGGCATATCCAGCCGTTGGCCCCCCAGGGGGCGTCTAAAAGCGCCGCCTGGAGGCGAGCCGGCGACACACTCGGCGCTGGGGGTGGTTTTGCGCTCAGTCGTCGCCCCCAGCCCGCCCCAGGCGCCGAAATTGGCCCACTTTGCAGCCCATTTTTGGCGAATAAACGGCCTATATGGACGAGAATAGGCCCATATTCGGCGTGGTTTCGGCGTTCAATTATCAACACACACATATTTTATCACAGAAAAATCAAATACTTCAACAAAATACTACAACAACAAATAGTTCAATACAAATTATATAGTTCAACAAATAAAAACTCGTATTTCATCACGCGGCGTCCCCCTTGAGCCTCCATAGGTGCTCAATCAGATCTTTCTGCAGTTGATGATGCACCTGTGGGTCTCGGATCTCCTGACGCATACTGAGATAGGCAGTCCAAGTTGCCGGTAGCTGGTGATCAACTTCGGCTAGAGGACCCTGCCTGTAGTATGGTTCAATGTCAAACACTGGGTCTTCTTGCTCGCTCTCGATGACCATGTTGTGCAAGATGACACAGCAAGTCATGATCTCCCACATTTGATCTTTCGACCAGGTCTGAGCGGGGTACCGAACAACAGCGAATCGAGATTGGAGCACACCAAATGCCCGCTCGACATCCTTCCTGCAAGCCTCCTGAACCTTCGCAAACCAGGCGTTCTTGTCTCCTGCCACAGGGTTTGAGATCGTCTTCACAAATGTCGACCATCTCGGATAGATGCCGTCAGCTAGATAGTACCCCTTGTTGTATTGGTGCCCATTGATCTCGAAGTTCACCGGAGGAGAATGACCCTCAACGAGCTTGGCAAAAACAGGAGAGCACTGCAGCACGAGAACGTATCCTGTGCAACGACGAGACTGGTGTAACGAGTGCTCCGAGAGATTCTGCGCCACTGGATGCGGAACCAAGGGACAGTATGCATCTGCAAGGGGAGCTGCTGGTACTTTTGCAGATTTAACCTTAAAGTGGCTCAGAATTCTGTACTCGTCCTCTCTCTCATCGTCTCCCTTCCTCTGCCTTCTCTTCTCTCCCGTGCCGCCGTAATCCATGGGAGCAGGTGGGAGCTAGGGTTGGAAAAATGTGCCCGGTGTCATATCTCTCTCTCTCTCTCTCTCTCTCCTCCCTCTCATGTACCTGGGTAAGGATCTACGGCATAGAAGCTTAATCTCGCCCTGTGTTCCTCTGAATCGACTGTGCGCGTTGATTTATTTGGCAGCGATGGCTCGTCTATGTCCGATGTCGTCGTCCGGGGCGTCGATTCTATAGAGGTACAGGAGCTGACGGTCTTCCGCGATTCAACTATGAAGGGTATGTTCTCTTCTTCCCTTATCCATGAGTATAACTGTTCTTCCAATCTAATCGTACTTTTCCCCAATTCATTTTTATAAACGTTTCCACATGATAGTTAGTACTTTTATATGAAGAAATCACAGTCGTCGGCTCGAGCTCAGTGGTAGCAGGCGGAACACAGATAGGTGTGCTACTGCTTGCTGGTTGCTCAAATTTGTTGTCAGTTTAGGGCCATCAGTTCCTCAAAACTAGTTGGATCTTATTGTTCCTATTACCACACGTTTTTATGTGAATATTCATTGGCGTGCTCGTGAAATTTTTCGATCACATTTGCCTCTGGTTCTTGTGTGCGAAAATTATGTGCACACTCATTCCTTTCTTTCGTCCGCGCCCACAACTCTGCACTAACCATGACATTGGTGTGTTTCTTGCAGAATGGGGCGATTGCTTCATCATTAGATAAAAGAAATAGCAGACCCTCCAACAGGAAAATAAGACCGAATCTTCCAGAGCTATGCTCTGGTAATATGGTACTTCTACAAGTGAAACATCAGCAGAATAGCCAAATCAAATTTGCTGAACATATCTTTCACTGCTGCAAGCTTTGCTTTGTTCTACTGCAGTTAATTCCCCAGAAGAAAAATTGTTTAATGAGTTTTAAGATCTGCTTCATAGTTCATACATACTAGACTTACTAGAACTATTTTTTATGTGATCGAGCTGTGTCATTTGTTTTATTTGCCGCACCTCTATACTTTACATCATTTTCCCTTCTGTTTATGCCTGCACGAATCAACTGCAACTTGTTTTTAGCTTTGGTTAATTCTAGCCTATGCCATCATTTCCCAGCTTAAATCCAACATTTACAAATCCAATCCCATTAAGTATTAATGTATTATTCCTTACGAGTACTCCCTTGGTAGTTGGTACTTTTTGTCTCTGAAATTCTATTGATGATCTTTTTTACTTTTGCATGCAGGACTATGCTCCTTATGAAATTCTCTGAAATTCAGGCTTGAATACTATGTTATGATGCAGAATCATCTAATCATCTCAACACTTGGCTTCATCCTTCTGGGGGTATGACTACTATTCGATTATCCATGCACTATGTTTCTTTCCTTTTGTCAATTTCCCCCAATTGCAGCTTTTATTAGACTAGTAATCAGGAAAAGAGATGTGCTTGTTGTTCCCATCCTTGATTTGTAAAGAGTATCTATATGTCCTTGAAGCTTTAAAGTAAGTTTTGTGCATGAATGTTATGACTTGCATGTGAAAGAATGGTTAACAGGGAGTTAGCGGACGTGCCTGGAGATAGATTATATCTGCTGTGTTTTCTTCTGGTTCACTTTGTTGATCTGAATGAAACTGCACTTTGATATCCAATTGAATTTTCTCATAGCATTACTAGTTCATCTTATTCATGCCTTTTTTTTTTCTTGTTGCAATCCATGTTCTAACAACGCTTTTAGAATCAACAATATTGATCTAGCGTACATGTCCTGGAGTCATCTTGCTAATTCCTGGTACATGTACTTGTAGTACCGTGTGAACTGTAATTGTAGATATTGATTGGAGTAGATGATTCTTAACAGGATGTGCAAACGAGTTTGAGGCCCTGTGTCATCCAGAAGGAACCATGTTGTGATTTCCCATCTGCGCTAATGCTCGATCTTTCAAGCGTGACTGTTGGACGACATTTATTTTGGCTGATGATTCTGCTTGTACTTTGGCCAACCTGTGGTTATCACTATTTATTTTCCAACTGTTTCTGAACTAAGTCTGATGCTTGCGCCTGTGCTCGCATGCGAGAAATTACACTGTTTGAGCAATTGTGGTTTTATTCTACATATATGTACACACTGTTTCCAAATGTGTATACGACAGTGGCCATGTCAAATTTTCTGGAGCTTTTACTATCATATCCTAATTTTAGTAAACTTCTACGTGACAATTGTATCCTCAATGAAACTACTTCATTACATCTTGAAGCCTTGGTGCAACTTCTCCAGAGAGTATGACACTGCATATGAATTGTAAATACTCTCATACAAAAGCGTCTCTAAATTCTGTCATATAAATAATCAAATCTGGGAAATGTCATTCTTTTCCACAGAACAACCATACTGCAGATTCCTCGATTCACAATAATAGTTAAAGCGTCCCTTGCAAAAGAAAGAGAAAACAACAACTGCAGATTTACGTAACTCCTGTCCACTCTTTCTATTCACCTGAAAAATGAGTCGATCAGTCCCAACTTGAGGTGCTTCCTTTGAGGGGATCCAAGCAGGTCATAAACATTCTCGGTTTTGAGCCTGTGACTTATGTAAATGATGTCCATCTACTATGGAATGAAAGATGGCAACCATACTACTTTAGTGGAGTTGCAAAGGGTACAGACAAAAAAAGTGGTTTGGGCATACACTAGATCCTTGAGGTGCAGAAGATAGCCGGTTCCTTTTTGGCGGTGCGATTGTCGTCCCCGGAGTTACAGCACGGTGGCGCTATATTTACGCGCTCTCCGGCGGCGCGGCCGTTTCAGGGGAGAGGAGAGGCGCTGGGGATTGAACGGTGCTGGACCAGGTACAGGACACAGGAGGGATGATGTAGAGTGGCCTAGGTCGCAGCTGACGGCATGGCACAGACGAGAACGCGACTACAGAGAGAGTAGAACAGAAAGGAAAGAGACGAGAGGTGTGTTGAGGACTATTCAGACTTCAATGATTCTGCAAGGCCTAAGATGTAAAACGTACCAGCACCCCTTCGCGTGATAAATCTGTGCCATCAGTTTTCCATCCAGTGGCGCAGAATCTCTCGGAGCACTCGTTACACCAGTCTCGTCGTTGCACAGGATACGTTCTCAACCCGTTGATGTCATTGTGAGTTCCTGGCATACCAAAGAAGGAGTGCCAAATCCAGAGATCCTGTGTGGCTACCGCCTCAAGCACCACACTGCAACCGCCTTTGGCGCCTTTGTACATCCCCTGCCAACCAAATGGACAGTTCTTCCATTTCCAATGCATGCAGTCGATGCTTCCAAGCATCCCAGGAAATCCTCTTGCTGCATTCTGGGCTAGGATCCGAGCAGTGTCTTCCGCATTGGGTGTTCTCAAGTATTGTGGCCCAAACACTGCCACCACTGCCCGACAGAACTTGTAGAAACACTCTATGCTGGTGGACTCGGCCATGCGCCTATAGTCGTCGAGTGAATCACTGGGAGCTCCATATGCAAGCATCCTCATCGCTGTCGTGCACTTCTGGATGGAGGTGAATCCAAGAGCGCCAGTGCAATCCATCTTGCACTTGAAGTAGTTGTCGAACTCCCGGATGGAATTCACAATCCTGAGGAAGAGCTTTCGGCTCATCCGATAACGGCGCCGAAATGTTCTCTCTCCATGAAGTGGAGCATCGGCAAAGTAGTCGGAGTAGAGCATGCAGTAGCCGTGCAGACGATGCCGGTTCTTTGCTTTCACCCGCCCCGGCGCCGAGCCACCTCGACGCGGCTTTTCATTGCTCGCCAGCAGCTGGGCGAGGGCGGCGAGCACCATCAGATGCTCTTCTTCCTGGACGTCGGCCGCGGCTTCCTCCTCCAGCAGCGTGGCGAGCTCTTCCTCCTCATCTGAGTCCATCACCGGCACAGTCAAAACGCCGAACACCTTGCGCTCGGTGGGCGTGTACCCGCCGTTAAACCGCGCCTCCGCGGTCGGAAACGGCGGCCGGAAATGCCCAGCTGCTGCGGGAGGGGCTGCCGCGGCGAAGCGCTGCTATTTTCCGGCGGGGAATGGCTATCTAGCGGAGTAGGCCGGCGGCCGTCGCCGGGATATAGCTAGTGGTGGCCGAGGATGCGGGGGTGCGAGGCGAGTCGGGGGAAGAAAACCTTGACTTTTCCCCTGTCGGTGTGGGCCAGGCGTGCTTTTCCCTAGCACCGGAGCCCCCAACGGCTCTCCAGCGCGCCGGGTTCGGCCTGTGACCGCCAGGCGGAAAAAAGGTCCGAACCGGCGATTTTCGGCGTCCTGGGGGCGCGACTGGGCCGTTTTTTCGGCGCCCGCGCCGAAAAAGTGGCCTGGGGGGGCCTGTTGGGGGCGCGGCTGGAGATGCCCTTAGCATTGAAGTTTGTTTCAGTTTCCTTTATTCATGTCATTAATAGGGCGGCTCACACTATCGCGTGATCTGTAATAGGGCCACTCACACTATCGCCTGATCTGCGGAGCATGTCATTATTTCATATTTTCCATCACAAATATTTAGAGGGTGCTTGGATACGTTTTAGTCCCATGACTAAAAGTAGTGGGACTAAAATTTGCTAGCCTCACCCATACTTGTATCCAAATACTAAAGAGACTAAAATCAAGTTAACGAGCATTTATTATCGTCCAAACCCTCCAATCCAGAACTCCCTTGTGTTAAAGGAGAGGAGTTAAATGAGGAGAGAAAGGGCTAATCTACATTTTAGTAGGGGTACCCCTGACTAAAAAAATTTAGTCTCAAGACTAGTTTTAGCCCCTCTTTAGTCAGGGGTGCTTGGAACTTTAGCCTCTTAAAGAGACTATTTTTAGTCAGACTAAAATAAGTCCCTTGGATTCAAGCACCCTCTTGTTCTGGTTGCGTGCTTTTTTGGGCATAAGCATCAAACCAAATCTTGCAATATATTCCTGGTAGGCGACAATCTCAGGGACTGGGTAAACAAATCCTAATTCCGAGACAACAATGATGGGATTGAGCAATCTTAGAGCATCTCTAGCAAACCCCTTAAAAGCGGTCAAACCCGTAAAAAATCTGGAATTTACAGTTTCGGTCGAAAAAAGGGTCCCTAGTTGATCCCGTAAAGTTCGATTGACCCTTAAAATTTTAAGGGGCACGGAGAATCCATCCGCGAGAACCTTATATGTATAGGTTGGAAGGTAGTATACATTCAACCCGTAAACGATCAAACCTCGTCAGAGCAGATGCGCCGCCGCAGAACTGGCTAGAATCAACCTGAAACTCGCCGGAATCCATCGCCACACATTAGAAAAGGTCGCCGCACGCCAGAATTTGTCGCTGCCAGTCCAAACTCTCGCCGGCTCGACCTTCACTGCCATGGCGAGGTCGGCCACGGGCGGGGTGGAGTAGGCTGCCGGCGGCCCGAATCAAGGCGGGGCGGCGGCGGAGAAGGGCGAAAGAGGCGTGGCCGGGGCGGGGGAGGTCTGACAGGGGCGGGCATGGCCGGGGTAGAGCGCGGCGGCGGCGGGCGTAGCCGGGGTGGGGCGAAGCACGACGGGGGCGGGGGCGGCCGGGATGGAG